ATTATCCTTTGTACCTTTATGGTTCACGTATCCCTGAACGTGATGCAGTCAGGTTTCTAGGCCTTCTCTTTAACTGTAGGTTATCCTGGAAACCTCACATTACCTCTCTGAAGGCAACTTGTCACAGTCGGCTGAACCTTCTTAATTAAAACCCTTGCTCATCTTTCATGGGGAGCTGATCGTCGAACTCTCCTTTGCCTACATTCAGCCCTCATTTTATCGAAACTCAATTATGGTGACAAGATCCATTCAGCGGCCTCTCCTGCTACTTTCTCTAGCCTTACTTACATCCATCATCAGGGATTACGTTTATGCCTTGGTGCTTTTCGCTCTTCCCCTGTTGAGAGTTTCTATGCAGAAGCAAATGTTCCATCCTTGTCTGATCGCCATGATGCCCATTACCTTCGCTACTATATACGCTCTCATGATCTCCGCAATCCTCCATTTATAGAATAGTCACCGATATTAGTAGACATTCTTTATTTGTTCGCCACCCCTGTTTGCTCCGTCCCTTTTCTCTTCACCTACATTCGCTCTTGTCTTCCCTTCAATTGCCACCTTTCTATGTTCATGTAGCATCTCACTTTTCCCTACCCCCTGGGAAGTTCCAGCTGTTTGAGTTTGTTCTTTCTCACTCCCTTGCTCAAAAGCCCAACTGCCTATGGTAGCTTCCCGCTCTCTTTTTCTTGACCACCTCCACTCTCATTCTCATGCCATCGCAGTGTACACAGATGGCTCTAAGTCTCCTGACGGTGTCGGATTCGCAGCAGTGTTTCTGGACAACGTTGTGCGAGGGCATTTACTGTCTTTGGCTAGCATTTTTACTGCTGAATTGTATGCCATCCTTGCAGCACTTATCCGTATTGCATCTTTGCCTGTGTCATCATTTGTGGTTGTTTCAGGCTTTACAGGCTATACAAAAATTTGATACACCTCACCCTCTAGTTCTCCGTATCCAACTTTGGTTACGCCGTATCTCTACCGAACATAAAGTTATTGTTTTTTGTTGGGTCCCTGGTCATGTTGACGTACAGGGCAATGAACAGGCAGACACTGCTGCGCGGTCAGCAGTACATGACCTTCCAGTTTCATATAGAGGTGTTCCATTCACAGACTACGTATTTTGCTGTTATAGCTACCCACCTTCACACCTGTTGGCAACAACGTTGGTCTGCTCTGCTCAATAACAAACTTTGTTCTATTAAACCGAGTATAGGTTACTTCCCGTCTTCTTGTCATCAGTGTCGAGGTTGGGAGACTACTCTCTCCCGCCTTCGCATTAGCCACACTCGTCTTACTCATGGATATCTCATGGAGAGGCGCCCTGCTCCTCTCTGTGAGAATTGTCAGGTTCCAGTATCGGTCAGCCACATTCTGTTAGACTGCCCACTTTATCAACGAGCAAGCAGAATTTACCTCCAACGTCGTCTTCGTTCTGCTGCTCTCTTTACCTTCCCCTCTTGCTGATGGACCCACCTTTCATCCAGACTCTCTCATTGACTCTTTGACAACAACTGACTTACTCCACAACTCTGATGATGATACCTTCAGCCCTTTCTACCTCAATTTCTTGCTACCCCTCTACCCCCGCACTATCCCCTGCCCCGCTGTTTTCTGTAACCTACTAATCATCTCTCCCCCCTTCTGCCGCCCGATACCCTCGCTTCCTTCCCTGCCCTGCAGTGCTGTATAGCCCTTGTGGTTTTATTTATTTATTTATTTATTTATTTATTTATTTATTTATTTAATAATTTGAACATACATACAGAGGTACAAAAAGATACAGGTAAGAGCAGCATGCCAAAGCCACTTGTATGCATAGCATTACGGGCTGGCTTAAAATTAACTCAAGATTAACTAAGCAATGATGTAATCAGTGATAAAACATTATTGAAAACAGATAACAATAAAGCACAAATGAGTATTACAAAGACAGGTCATATGGTTGCATGCATTGCTGTACATTCAGTAGAATGGAGTATTCTGTTAGGTAGTGTATTTAAAAAATAACAAAGTTAGATTGGGTCTTAGGTTTAACATTTATGTGATATAATTGTGAGAAACATTTAAGATATACAATTTATAAGGTTCAGTTATTCAGTATTCATTTGGTTTTGGGTGAGTAACTGATCTTTGAGAAGAGACTTGAATTTATAAACAGGTAGTGTTTCTTTTATATTTACAGGTAATGAATTCCAGATTTTAGGGCCTTTTATGTGCACTGAGTTTTTGCACGAGGAACATCAAAGAGTGATCTGTGCCTTGTGTTATGGTCATGTGTTCTGTTGAGGTTGGCAAGGAGATGTCTGAGGGGAGGGTTAATATCAGAGTTAAGTGTTCTATGTATGTAATAGGTGCAGTAATAAGTATGGATGTTTTGTATGGTGAGTAGGCTTAGTGTTTTGAATATTGGTGGAGTGTGCTGCCTGTAGTGGGAATTTGTTATCATTCTGACTGCAGCCTTTTGTTGGGTAATTAGTGGTCTGAGATGGTTAATTGTTGTTGAGCCCCATGCACAAATTCCATAATAATGAGACAAGAGCTAGAGCTTTTCAGTGGCTGCTTGTAAAAACTTGACTAGGTTGCAGTTGTGGTTTTCACTAACCTTTTCAATAAACAGCAGATTCTGTTTGGATAAGTTTTATGACCCTCTGTAGCTTGATGGTTAGTGCTATGGGCTGGTAGTCTTAGGACACCCGAACTCAGAGTTCAAATCCCACTCACCCCTTGAATTGTCTCTAAATTCATTCAATCAAATAAAGATTTTTAGTTGAAACTGAAGCCAGTTTTTTTTAGCATTTTTATTGACTTCATTTGTTCCATTCACTAGTTATCTATTATTTTTAAAGAAATGCGTACTTAAAACTATATTTGGCTGACATCATGTAACAGTATATTTTTCCCATTATTTCTGTTTATGACATTACCTTAAAATTTAAAAAATAGTAATAATGGTAGAATTTCCAAGAAAATGTTAGGTAAATGGACACAGATGCAACTAATGCAACATTAGTTGCACATTTGTCAAAGCTCCTAGAGAGCAAAATGTTGCCACAATACAATGTCACATTAGCTGCATCTGTGTCGGTTTACCTAACAATTTAAAAAATGCCTGGTATCTTTGTTATCAAAATTTAAGATCTAGCAAGCTTGTATCAAAAACCCATGGATTTTATATTGAGCTAATACAACTTTGTTTTAATCTTTGAAGACTTTCTTCATAAAATTAGTTTTCTACTTTCTTCCCCAGGGGGTAGCTTTTTTTTTTTTTTTTTATAAATGACAGCAAACTCCAAAGATACAGTGAGATACTGGCTGAGACTACTCATTCTGTGACTGTGAAGACAAAACTGTCTTTGGCCAGAGTTTAATGCTGCATTCATTAAGAATTCACTTGTGTTTTTACTCCTTAGTTTGTTTTATTTTCTCACTAAGCACAAAGCCATATTGTGTCCTCAGTACTTCATTTATTTCCTCGCTCAAGTTGGCTCCAAAACCTGGTGGTTCTTGGTGAAGGGCCAATAAGCATATTCACCTGATAAAACAATTCATGTGTAAATCTATGGATTTAAAACTGGAATGGGACTGTCACTACCAAGTTGCAGGTCTCTTAAGGGAGGTTCCTTGATGCTAGTGATGGGTTCATCTAAGGAAATGAACCTGCCCTTCCCTTCCTTGGATCAAACCTGAATGACTTCCATTTCCCAAGATCTGTATGACCCGTGTGGACTTAGCACTCCCTTACCAATGCACTGTAATAATAATAATAGTCAATGAAGGATCCACCTTCCCTCAACAAGGCTTTGATACTAGTGTTCACATTTGATTTGAAATTTGTAAGCAAAAAATGTTTTCGGTTTCCTTCAATTTCATGATTCTCTATCCTGTCTTTTGAACTTTGTGTTATGTTTTCATCTTTAACTCAAGACTTTCAATTTCTTGTATTAGTCTCATTTTTGTCCTTAGGAGAATGTGAGGAAAGCTTCAGTTGTACCACAACTACTGTATATTTTTCCTCCTTTAGTAGAGAAAGTGGCATTTTTTAATTTGTATGATTTATAAGGTTTATGTTCTCTGAACACTTACTCAGATTTGTGTTACAACAAGGAAGACATGGGCCAGTCAAATATGTACTTTCCTGAATCAATATAAAATTAACCTGTGCTGCTGGTCAGATTCATCTAAGGAATTAAAACTAATCTAAATAATTGAAGAAACAGTTAAGATATACAGATACAATATAAATAATAGGAATGCATTCCTGGAGAAGTCAGACAGATTATATCCACTTTGAATGTAAAGTTATTAATACCATAATTATTAACTGGAGAATCAGTATGTATCATAAATAGGTAACCAAATAGCCTAAAGCTGGTGAAGGGCTCTTGATGCAAGAGAACAGAACTGCCCTCCCATTCCTTCATCAAACTGGATTTCCTCCCCTTCCCTTCCCTTCCCTTCACCTTCCCATGTCTCATACTGTATGACACTGAAGAATTTAGCCATAATAATATACACTTTAATGCCTCATTTATATGGCAGCAAATTAATGCACTCTATATTTTTCTCCCATAACTCTAACTTATTTTGCACATTTATTTATTTATTTATCTATTTATTTTATGTCTTTGCAAACAGTACACTGAGATTTTATATTTACAATAGTGGGTTGCAATGCAAACAGAACCTCAATTATGCCTAGGCATTACTGTTGCTTCAATATATTATAATTGTGTTGTTTACAACTGAACATATTTGTATGTATTGAAATGCAGGGTTATTTAACATGAATTGACTCCCCATAAGTGTGATCAATACTTATGACAGAATCAATTTAGTTGTGCCCCCAACAGTTCAATATAACTAGGTATTACAAATAATAAGTCTTTCCTGCTACTTAGGTACAATAGCTACATGGTGAGTCTTATAACCCCATAACAAGGTGGTTGGGGGTATGAGGAAGCAGTTAAGGTAATACTACACAAAAGAACAGTACTCACCCCACTGGCAACAAACACAGGCAGAAATACCCAGCCCAGCAGTTGTAAAAGTACCAGTGCCTGTACATGGAAGACAACACAAAAATTAGTCATACCCTCTTCTCTCCCAAATACACACAGGGAATAGATAAGATCTCTTTGAAAGATTCTCAGGGGTCAAAATCCTACATGGAGTCCCACAAGGATCAGTACCTGGACTGATAATATTTACAACTGATAATTGGTAGATAAATGGAAGATGGCATACAATGTGTCAATAAAGTAAACCTTTGATTTAATGAACTAATAGGGAAAAGTGGGTGATCAGTAACGGTGATAGTAGTGGACAGAGATGCGAACATTTTGCTGTGACTTTGTCCACTGTGCCAGAATCAACTGACCCAGCAGATTTTCTTCCATATATGTATCTGAAGTCTGTTAAATCAACAAGACCCATTAAATTAAGATTTTACTGTATTACAGGTACAGACAAGTCCTGCTTATAAAGCAGGTTAGGTTCCAGGTTACTGCTGTAAAGTGAAACAGACTTTTTTTTTCATTTTCAAATGCATATAAAACGTTGATAACATATTTACATTATCATATATTAAGTGAGGAATATAGGTAAGCCTAAAAAATGCATATACAGCACACATATTACTTACCTTAAAATATTTTCATCCTTAGCTTACGGTGAGCAGTAAATACATTTACTGTAATAAGTCTGAATAAATGAAGAAAGGGTATACATAAATGAAAACTGCTGCAATAGCAAAATGCCATAAAACAAAGCGCTGTAAAGTGGGGCCCTCTTGTATCCTTCCAAAAAAAAAAAAGTGACATGACAGGGAAGACTATAGGCCTGTTTCATTCACAAGTATTGTAAAACTATTAGAAAAAGCCATATGAGAAAAGTTGATTCAATACATACTTAGAGAACAAAAATATATTAATTTAAAATGGGTTTAAATTCGGTTTCCAGTCTCCATATTAATGTAATACTGTACCTGTGGAAATTATTTAATTTCCAAAGCTATAGTGCCTAATAAGTGTTTAATGTGTTGATTTGGGCCAAAATGTATTTGTATTTTGAATAGAACTAACCGGGTTCGCCCTGCGCCTGCGTGGATGTGCGGGGGGAGGACAGGTCAAATCAGGGCATGGGTTAGCGGGTGTGATTTGAATGTACTGAGGAGGCTGTGAAAACATGGGACCAGGAAATTGGCGTGCACGGCGGCCTAAGGATTAATATAGGCCTCACTTCATAATACTAAGTGTCGTAACTGTTCCTGGTGAAGAGTGAGGGAACGGGATTTACGGGACCACCATAATAAAGTGGTAAAATTAGTGAATAATGGTATGACTGGTGGGGACTGGCGAGTCGCCATGGAGTGTCCCGGGGAAAATACCCGTGATTTAATCATCACTCATCGGTCTCAGATCTTAATGGAGTGACCTCTAATGTGTATAATAATTATGAGACATTAAATCGTCTTGTGAATGGTAATGTAATCAGTGATAATAACATTAAGTTAAGAGAATGCGGGAAGTGAAATAAGTCGCCCTGCTCCGAGTGAACACGTGGTTCCCGTCCCGAGGATAGTGAAGTTTTATGGAGTCACGACTTCTAAACCGGGACAAACCAACGGATACCTCGTCCTCCTGGAATAAGAACCGTGTCGGTGTAGCAAGACATATAAATGAGATGGTGAATGGAGGAAATAAGGAGCATCAATCACCCACAGTTAAGTAACCTTTCTAGTTATAGCAGACTGATACTGGCCAGTTAGGTATGTTGTAATTGGATAGGTTATGAGTGATCCAGCTACATCAAGTGACCACCAGAAAATATCGGTAAGTGGTGGGATTATATACAAGTGTTTTTCCTTGATGGATATATCTATGTGTAACCTACCCCCCCCCCTTCATCCAGTTACACTAATATAATCTATACAGTCCACAATTAATTAGTAGCGCCGTACTTGTGGGTGCTATCCAATCTATACTGGTCTCGGATAGATATGGATAAGATTCTGAGGTCGAAGGCCCACCTGCAGTGACCAGGGGTGGTGAAGTTTTCTCACATGTCCACACGGGATGACTACGGTAAACAATATAGTGTTGTCTCCCAATGAGATTACTTGTATGTATATAATGTTGAGGTACATAAAGGTAATCACCCTAGAAAATTTTCCATAGTACCTACGTCAAATCTAATATTTATTGTAAAGTCATGAAAATTGCTCACTGGAAAAGAAATGGATGAGAGGCATGTATTTAACTAGACATTAAAGAAATGCTTTTGATAGTTTTCCACAAGACTAATTTGGAAATTGCAAAATGTTCAATGAATAATAAAAGGCAAAATATTACAATAGATGAGATTTTTTTTCTTGAGAAAATTAGTACAGTTATCAGAGGAAAAAATGAGCAAAATACTAGTTATGGATAATGAGAACCTTTGAAACTAGGGATGCCAAGAAAATGATGGTTCTTTTCAAACTGCTTGTTTTCTCTAGGGTGGATGTATTGCTGTACATTAATGGCCCCTTAAGCCTAACTCAATTATTATTATAATCAAAAAGAAGCGCTAAACCAAAAGGGTTATACAGAAGCCTAACTCAAGACTACTACATATGTTATTGTACATATAAAAAAATTGTGAGGTGCATTTAATTTTATATAATGAGTAGTTATGGTTTGAGTGAGCTTAATACAGATACCAAGGCTTGTACAGCATAATGAAGGAACCTGTATTCATGTTACATACGTATTAAGATTATAGAGACACAAAATACAGCAGCAACTGCACATAGATGGAAGCTGAAAACCAATGACGACCACATGGATATATGTACGTATGGCTGATTTAAGTATAATGAAGTGAACTGAGTGAGGAAGTTCATTTAAGCACAAGTACACATAAGTACCGTTATCATACACAGTGTATTATTATAATGGTGAGCGCTAAACCCGTAGGATTATACAGCGTGTGTGGGGGGGGATGGAAGGTATTCAGACTCAATTCAGGGAACTGGAGCACAGATCCAATTCCCTAGATCAAGAGCCCCTCACCAGCGTCAAGGAACTTCCCTTGAGGGCTATACATAGTGTAAATTACCCAGGATAACCCGAAAAAAGCCAAACAAAATGACAAACTTCTAGCAGTTTGAAGAATAGGTACGACTGGGCACTAGAGCACCAAGAACCATCACTACCAGTCAACTGTAGTTAAGAGGATACAAATGTTATCTACACAAACAATTTATGTAACTGTCGTAATCCATATCTCTGTTAAATCAATTTTACTTCCACAACATTGGTGTTATCTCGGCTAAGGCATTATTATCATGGGGGAGCGCTAAACCCGTAGAGATTATACAGCGCCTGTAGGAGGGGGGTGGGCTCAATTCTAGGAACTGGAGCACAGATCCAATTCCCTAGATCAAAGAGCCCCTCACCAGCGTCAAAGAACCTTCTTTGAGAGGCTGCCTAAAGAAAACATTCCGCCCTGTAAGTTATCTAGATAAAGACTTACCATAACCTCCAGTTTTGACCGGGACTGTCCCAGTTTGTGTCGTAGTCCCGGTCATAGTCCCGGTCACTTTGTCACTCTGTCTCGTAGTAGCTAGTTAATATTATTACTGCACCATACATCAATGGGCGAAGTCAAAGATACAGAGTACATATATGGTCCAGGGAACATGACTCCAAAGTTTTGATATAGCAGTTACAGAGTATCAACTGCACAATTTAAAAGGTAATAATCACAATTTGACAAAGTAATGAATTCACAATTTAAATAAGGTAAGGAAATCCAGTAAGTCATGTCCAATCATACATGTTACAAAGGATTACGTTACAGAGGACGTAATGGCCAGGACTGGCCCCCAAGGTTTGATAGACGAACTAGTAAAAGGTCATGAGTCAGAAGTTACAAGTAATAATTCTGTAGAACTGGATAACTTAGTTTATCTTTGCTCTGATCAGAACATATAGTACTGAGCAATCACACTCCACCGGTCAAACGTAATGGTTATGGGTCAAAATTATGCTTGAGTCACAACACAACACACACACCACAACACAACAACTAAATCCACAGACACAAACACACCCACAACACAACCACACACATTAGTTTAATATCTATGCCCCCATACCATCTGTGGCGTAGTCAAAAATTACGATAACATACGCAAGTAAAATGAAAGCAAAAAACAGAAGAAATATGAAAAACATTATTAATAAATTTACTATACTTATCGTCCAACTGCGACATTAGAAAATAAATAATATAAATTGTGATAAAATGAGTTCGACTCTTAAATTATGTAAGGAGCAGAACATTTCTCTACCATAATTTTCAAAGGGATGGTGGACAAGTAAGCCAGTGGAAGGCTTCGGTCAGACGACTAAAAGCTCCAGTAGTGGGTCATCATATAACCTTAACACCCACCTCAGGAAACACTTAGTCATGTTTCCTGACAAGCCTAATACTGTAGCCCCACTCCACAAAGGGGGCAGTAAAGCAACAGCAAAGAACTACAGACCGATAGCACTAACATCCCATATCATAAAAATCTTTGAAAGGGTCCTAAGAAGCAAGATCACCACCCATCTAGAAACCCATAAATTACACAACCCAGGGCAACATGGGTTTAGAACAGGTCGCTCCTGTCTGTCCCAACTATTGGATCACTACGACAAGGTCCTAAATGCACTAGAAGACAAAAAGAATGCAGACGTAATATATACAGACTTTGCAAAAGCCTTCGACAAGTGTGACCATGGTGTAATAGCGCACAAAATGCGTGCTAAAGGAATAACAGGAAAAGTTCGGTCGATGGAATCTATAATTTCCTCACTAACAGAACACAAAGAGTAGTCGTCAACAGAGTAAAGTCCGAGGCAGGCACGGTGAAAAGCTCTGTTCCACAAGGCACAGTACTCGCTCCCATCTTGTTCCTCATCCTCATACATATCCGACATAGACAAGGATGTCAGCCACAGCACCGTGTCTTCCTTTGCAGATGACACCCGAATCTGCATGACAGTGTCTTCCATTGCAGACACTGCAA